TCACTCCTTACAGTAATGTTGATGGTTTTCTCAGATAACGCATTTCCTGCATACATGTCGAAAGACGAGGTGGTTCCCGATCACAAAGGCAATCCAAGGATCGAAGTTGTTCAGGACATTGCCACGTCATTTTTTATTTTGCTCGCTATCTACTTTCCTTCGGTGACAGGCATTATGACCGGATCAAATATGTCAGGTAACCTCAACCAATTTTCGTAAATGATTGATTAATTATGTGAACTAAAATGTAAAGATTTCATTTGGTTTTACCCGTGTAAATGCACTTTTGACAGCTTTACATAATTACATGTGTAAAGTACAGTGTTTTTGATGTTGACAGTGTTTCTCGCCCTGGTTTCTGGTACATGTATTGTGTTTCAGCAAGGAGAAAGGTTTTTTCTCCTTAAACAATGCACGTTGCAGTTTTGTGTTTGAATAGCGGATGTCATTTTCATCAACATGATTTTCTTCGCCTCTCTCAGAGTACGTCATGGGTATTGCTCCCTGACCTCCATTTCATATGCCCAAGCTAAATAATCTACTTTCGATAAACTTTTCTGTCACTAATACTACTCTTGCAGTACTTCTTAGGATGCCCCAGATGCAGTCCTCTTTGTTCATATTATGTATTTTTTCAGCTATCTCATTCGCACCAAATATAAGCTGATCACTGATTCTTAGAAGGCTTGACTCTATATTGGAGACTCTCGTCACGTGCTTTCACCGGAAAGGCCGCATTTCATCTAAGGCTTCGGCTAAAAAGGGCAAAGTCGCATTGACATTGCTTCTGACACTTTGACTGGGTTGATCCGTACTTCGGATAGGTTGATCAACACCACTGTCAGCAATGTAGGTGAACGTCGAACATTAACAAGGGTGCGTTTTGGACCGCAAGATAGCTAAACAGACTCTGCCAAGGCTTCAGCTGCTCAGACTGCTGATCAACTGTAGATACAAATAGGGAATTATTTATGTAGTGATTACACATTCAGCTTCAAGGGAGTAAGTGGAAAGTCTCGTAGACTAGAAGCCGACGACATCCTCACTTTACTGAAATCGCCACAGTTTCCGCCAGGCGTTAGATAATCAAAACCTCATTCCACTTCTGACTCTGTTCTCTTAATGCAAGAGAAAATTCATTAAAATCATTGTGGACAATACTAATCGAGTCTCCTTTCACCGCACATTTGGCTAATTAGCCAGCCTTCTTTTCCTTACTGCTGGTCTTGTTCTGGACAGAGGAAACATCTGGTTTGCTAATCCATGATTTATGGCAAAAATTATTTTGTTTCGATTGGTTTCTTCCCTCAGAAGTATTATCTCCTTCATAAGTACAACATTTTGTGAATGAACGACTCGTATCCAGCTAGATTACTTTCAATGTACATTTAAAAACTTTTTTGTCTTTTTTGCCCTTTTGCATAAAAGCGCAGTGAAAGACAGCGGTACTAACAATCGGCAAGGGTCTACCTTTATCTCAGCGAATGTCTGTGGTACAAGAACAAAGCTAACTACGATGATCAGAGCTTCATTTTAAGCTGCTGTTATTAAAGCGTGCCTCGTAGATGTGTGGCATCATCAAACGACTTCATATTGTTGCATCACTTTCTCATTGCCTGCTCTTTTTATATATTGTTGTTTCCTCTGCTTTTGTACGGCAGAAAATGCGCATATGTTCTGTTGAAAAGCGCGTCTTCAATCGTGGCTTGTTATTGTATATTAAAATTGGAATGAGAACAATATGACTACCGACCTATGCAGTGTATGGTGTATGAATGAGGTCCTACGAAATAATTCTTTTTAGGTGATCTAAAAGACCCACAACGCTCGATTCCGTTGGGAACACTTGCCGCGCAGATTTCCACTTCATTTGTCTACCTGTCGTTTGTGATCGTTTTCGGAGGGACAATCGAGAGACCACTTCTATGGGACAAGTGCCACTCTCTGACAGACGATGTTTTCGATTTCTACGGTTCAAAATTTTTAGATATGGTGAAAGCTTGGGCAATAGCATGATTGTGGCGGAATTAGCCTGGCCTTCGGAATGGGTGCTTCTAATAGGTTGTCTGACGTCAACTTTC